ACACCCAAAGGCCTTTGGCGACCAAGTCTCCATTCCCTGAAGTCCCAGTGAATTTACCAAGGCAAAATTAACACTGTGACGCAAAGAGGCATTTCCAGCTCTCTGCAGGGAGGCTGCTCTGCCCACCCACCCACCCCAGCTCCTCCAGGGGGCCCAAACACACCTCTTCTTTTTATTTTTTCTTCGCTTTTTAATACAGGAACACATTCTGAATGCAAACTCTTCTGTGAAAAGGCCACTTTCAATATTAATTGCTTTGCCTTCATAGAAGAAACTGGTAAAATTGTATTTTTAGCCACTGCTTCCCACTGTTGCAGAAAGCCACTTGATTAACTGTGACTAAAAATGTACCTTGTTCCAGCTTAACAATAGTGCTAAAAAAAGTGATAAACAAAGCTTTCGGTGGATGAGAAATCAAACGATCCAATTCGCCTCAGGGACTCTTTTTTTCTAGTGCCAAAGATTACACCAAAAAGGGAGTTGAGTATAATCTTGGCTCGGGTTTGTTTACAGGAACTTGGGCTCAATATATTGTCAATACATTGTCACTCCGCAGTGCTGCACAGCTATTGGGATCCACAGGAAATAACATAATAGATAACACAATTACTCATTCTGCTGACAGACCCCCCCTCACCCCACCACAGGGATGGCAGCATACTCTCAGCTGCCTAAGAGTGCAAAAAATCAGTATATCGTGATATCTGCCTTTGCCTGATTCCCTCTGCCCAGTGACTGACCATCCTGAGCCATCAGCAGAAGGCTTGGAACGATCCAAGGGCATATTGTGCACAGGCTCCCAAAGTTACCCGAATACAGCTCACTCAGCAGGGCTCCAGAGCCACAATTTAAAGCTAAATTGGCTTGCTCTTCGCAGAGGAATGATGTTTCCTTAGGATTAGCAATAAAGACTGCCTGAGCCAAGCTGACAAATCAGCCCTTTACCCCAAAATGTCAGATTATAGGCTGCGATATTCTATTCAAAAGCCATGGAAAGAGTAATCTGTTCAACATTCCCGTGCGCTCAGCTAAAGTACACTTAATTGCATCAGTTCTGCAAGCCCAGAAAATAATAACATGCCTGGCACTGTGGCAGCACAAACCACAAGCAGCACTGGGAGGGACGTGCTTTAAAGCCCACTGATAAAAACCTTCACGGGGAAGGTTTAAACATCTCACCTCAGCTCACCCCCCTGAGCTTGCGGGAGCTGCCGAGTCCCGTCCCACACAGGTCACTCAAAGGGCATCATCCATCAGCCGCCCTGCTAAAGCAACCAGCGTTTGGCCCACTGAATGTACCGTCCCATGCTCTCTCCAAGACCCTTTTAGCTTCTAGTAATGTCAGGGTGAGGTAATGGCAGATTTTTGGCACCCACCCCACGCTGCCTCGATTCTGTACAATGCATTGTGTCAGTGCAGTGGATCCAAGCCTAGCTGGGGACTCATTAATCCACGGATTTCATTCCTAAACACACCATTTTCTGAAACAACAATGCACATTAACTCCTGTGGAGTTGCTAAAGTCTGCTGCAAATCAAAACCTGTTTGGGCTCCCCTCACTAAAGTCAGACATTTCAGTGACCATAAGGGCCCAGGCTCTGCCAGAACAGCTACCAGACATCAGCAGTAAGACTCTACTTCACATTCTTAGGGCAATTTTATTGAATTTAGGCAATGTCCTTGGCTCAACAGTGGCTTTACAAGGTAAAAAAATCAGATGTCGATTGGTTCTTTTTTTTCCCTTTCAAAACACATGCAGGCACTAATCCTGGAATAACAGGCTCATAAAGCATCAGCTTAGAAAAATGCAGCGATCCCACTGATCCAGGGAGCTGTCGGCGGGACACGGCTGTGCTTCTACCCTCTGCTGTGCTGAACTCCACTTGGGAGAGCAGTGAGTGCACACTCCTGCTGATCAACTTTCCCTCAGCAAGCAACTGGGAGACTGCACACAGCCAACTTGTGACTCAGGGTATGGAATGGGGGACAGCACCAGCCCTTATGGAGTGATATTCCCAGCCTCGGGAGGAGCAAGGGGGGGGATTTTCCCTCCTGGTACAACACAAGTTTAGGGATGGAGGGATGACAGAACTGTCACCTGCAGCTGCTGCTGCCATGTCTCAGACAGCTCCCTTAACTCTAGGCTGACTCCAGTCACCTGATGTCTGGAGGAGGAGGTGTCTGTGCTGAGCATCGCTGTCACTCAGGCTCCGACCTGGCACTGTCAGACCCATCTCCCCAGCACCCTGGCTGCTTTACACCGAGATTTCTCAGAGGCCACAAACACAGCTTAGTAATGGATGCGGCCCTGCATGTACCAGGATGCTATGCTGGAGATAAAACATTCCTTATGTACAAGGTCCTGTTTCCACAGAACCTGCTGCCGACAGACAGTCCCCACTCTCACACCGCCTAGCACTTTTGCTCCCAATCCCATTGCTACACCCTTCCAGTCCCAGCCTCCTCTCCTTCCAGCAGGAAGGAGCCCGGGTGAGCAGATGTTTTCCCTCTCTCCCCCATCTCCCAGGCAGAGCCCCGTCGCCTGTGGTGGGCTCCATGTGGGCAGAGCTGCCGGCAGCTGCGAGGCAGAGCCAGTCTGGGCACATTTCAGCTGCCTTTGGCTGGGGGCATCGTGGAAGCTCGGCACAGGAACATGCCCAGGAGAGCCCAATGTCCATCAGGGCTGAAATCCCCATGTGGGATGGAAAGCATTCACCCCTCCACTGAGAGGGAGGATCATCACTGAGGGAGGACCTCACCCCAAGCAAATCATTGATAACCCTTATCTCCTACCCATTATATCAAATTAAATTTTCTGGGAAGACAGACCTTTTATTAGTGAATTTGAAACTATGTGAGTGATCTTTCACCCACTGACAGCAAGAGCTCCCTTTGATGCTCAGGTCAGACACAGCTCTGGGATCATCCTGCCTGTCCAAAGATGGACAGGGCAGCTCAGCAGGAAGGAAGTGTAACTCGTCTGAGTTTCTGCTTGTCACTTTGTCACAGTGTGTGTTATTCAAGAGATGGAAGGGAAAAAAAAAGCCCAACCCTAGCAGCAGGCCCGGGAGCTGAGACAGAGGGGCGTGTGGTGGGTCTTTTTATTTTTTCCCCCTCTTAACAGACTGAGATAAATGTAGCAATCCCAAAACGTGGAGGTGGGGAGGACGTGTGTGTGCATGTGCCTTTTATCAACTGGCGGATCATTGGATGTTTCTGTTGCCAAGGAGAAGCACACGCTTGGTAACAGAGGACAGCAACATTTTTTTTTTGCATTCCTATATGATAACATTCACCAACCTTATCATTTTTCTCAAGATGAGATTCAGAGCTCTATATTAATTCTCACTCCGTGACAAATTTACTGGAATGAAAAAAAAAAAAAAAGAAGAAGGAAATAACTACCCAAGAATACAAGAATGCAATTGCCAAGGTGCAATCTTGGCAGCAGCACAGTGCCAGGGCTGCTGGAGCTGGAGGGAGTTACATGTGCACAGCCCCACTGGTCCAGGGAGCTTTCAGTAACAACCTGCTTTGGGGACAGGATACTGTTGTCTGTTCAGGGGCTGATACAGGAGAAGCAGCATTCAATAGCTCACAGAATCACTGAGGTTGGAAAAGCCCTCCCAGGTCACTGAGTCCAGCCTGTGCCTGATGCCCACCTTGTCCCCCAGCCCAGAGCACTGAGTGCCACATCCAGTCATTGCTTGGACACCTCCAGGGATGGGGACTCCAAACCTCCCTGAGCAGCCCTGCCAATGTTTAGCAACCCTTTCCATTCCTCCTGATGTCCAACCTGGACCTCCCTGGCACAGCTTGAGGTTATGTCCTCTCATCTTCACTTGTTCCCTGGGAGAAGAGCCTGCCTCCCATTTCACTAAAAACTCCTGTCAGGGAGTTGCAGAGAGCAAGAAGGTCCCCCTGAACCTCCCTTCCTCCAGGCTGAGCCCCCCCAGCTGCTCCTACAGGACTTACAAGTTGTGCTGCTAAACAAGAGCAGCACAACTCTTCACGAGGGGACCCCGGGGGGCTTGTCCTTGCTCTGTTTACTGCCCAGCCAAGCTCCTTCTACTCCTTATTAACGCTGCGACACGTCCTGACTGATGGGCAAAACCCTCCATGGAAGGGCTCTGTATAACAAACTAAACGCGGAGACTCTGAGCAGACTTTTCTAACCACCACTCCGGGAAAAACCCATCCGGAGTGCATCCCATCATCAGAGAGATTTGCCGTGCATTGTGCCAGCAACTTGCGACGGCCGGACCGTGCCCCTCCTGCGGGCACAGCCGCATCTCCCATCGCCCCCGTGCCCGACGAGCACCCGTGTGCATGTACCCACACGTGACATGTCGCGACTAAACTAAACACAGCGACGGGTCCTCAGCAGCACGAGCCTCACCACGGAAAACACATTTATCACCCAAAAAAACCCAACCCCAAAACCAAACCAAACCAAAAAAAAAAAACCAAACTAAACAAGCGAGGGGGAGCTGGGGGTGGAGGGGGAGAAGAAGATAAAATTAAAATTTAAAAATTAAAAGAGAAATAAAAAAAGGAAGACGGGTCAAGGCAAGCGAAGTATTATTCCAAGGGGAAGGCGAGGTTGCAGGCGCGGGGGGAAGCGCCGGTTCCCGCCGGCAGCGGGAAGTTGGGGGACGGCGCCAAGGGGAGCCCCGGGGGGACTCCTCCATCCTCCGGGGGCTCCTCCAACCTCCTCCCGGGGGGCTCACCCTCCAAGGAGGCTCCTCCATCCTCCAGAGGGGTCCCTCCGTGCTCCGGGGGCTCACCTTCGGAGAAAGCTCCTCTATTCTCCCAGGGGGGCTCCTCCATCCTCCGGGGGGTCTCCTCCTCCCCAGGGGGCTCCTCCGTGCTCCCCAGGGAGCTCATTGTCCCGGGGGGGGCTCATCCATCCCCCCGTCCTGCAGGGACCCAGCACCCCCACTCCCATCCCCTTCCCCCCCCAGCACCTCCCCGAAGGGTCTCCCCGGAGGGCGCGGTACCTTCTCTCCGGTGAGCACATGCAGCCCCTCGCGGACCTTGGCGAAGGATCCCTCGCCCAGCTTCCTGCCGATCAGGTAGTTGCCGACCCTCTTGGTGTGCTGGAAGTCGCGGAGCCGCTCCCGGGGCGCCGCCGCGCTCAGCCAGGCGGCCAGGAAGGAGCCCCCGTCCGCCGCCGCCCGCCGCCCCTCCGCGCCCGCCGCCACCGCCGCCGGCTCGCCCAGGAGCCCATCGCCCGCCGCCGCCGGCATGCCCGGCTCTGTCCCTTGTCCCCCGGCCCCTTCCCCTGTCGCTGTCCCCGGCCCGCGGGGCGGTCACCCGAGTTGCTCCGGGCAGAGCGGCGGAAGCTCCGGCGGAGGGGCTGAAGTGCCCCGGGCTGAGGCTGAGGCTGAGGCTGCTGCTGCTGCTGCTGCCGCCCCTCCCTCCGTCCTCCCTCCGTCCGTCCCTCCTCCTTCTTCTCCTGCTGCTGCTGCCCCGCTGCCCGCGTGGAGGAGGGACCGGGAAAAGGAGAGGGAGGGACCGGCGGAGGGAGGGAGGGAGGGGAAAGGGTCTCTCATTCAGTTTGAATTTTGAGGTAATTTAATGCGCTCGCACGCGGCGGGAGCAGCTGCGACCCAGACCCGGCGCATCTGGGTGTTTGCAAACCCGGCTGCCCCCTTCTCCCCGCCCGCCCCCGGCATCCCAGCGCGGGGCTGCGGAGCATCGCTCTCCCGGGAATTAACCCGGGGCTCCCCGCCCCCAGGAATTAACTCGGGGCTTCCCGCTCCCGGGCACGGCCGTGGTTTCGCTCTGCATGTGGCTCTGCTGCCCGGGAGTATCTTTTGTGTTGCTTTTCCCCACCTCCCTTCCCCGAGCACGTCCGAGTCCTCCTCGGGGAAAGGCGCGACCGCTCCCGCTGCTCCGGCAGCTCCACTCCGCGTCCTCCCCGCCCGCTTCTCCATCTCCTCCCTCCCGGCTCTAAGGTCCTCTCTCCCGCCGCCGGCTTCGTCTTCCTTCTCCTGTCCTGCAGAGCCGGGATCCCGGCTGAGCACCCTCCCCATCCCGCAGCCTGCATCCCCCAAATGCTCCCCCCGGCAGCGAGGAGGCGACCTGGGCTCCCATCCGCGTCCATGGGACTGTCCTTTCCCGACCGATCTTCCCTTTCCCGACCGATCTTCCCACCTCTTGGGGAGGGAGAAGGAACGAGTACATTGCCATTGTCACCTCGCAGCCCCGTCCCACCCAGCTGGAGGCTGCACTGGCAAACGGCAGCGGAGGAGAGCAAGGATGGGGGATAATCCACGTGTTCAAGTTTTGCCCTCGGGTAGTTGCGTTAGGGAATACTTTGTAATAAAAAAGGAGCCAAGTTCACCCTTAGCAGATGTGAGTTGTGTCAGCAAAACCTTCCCTCGAGACGCAGCTGTACCTGACGCCAGCCGGCCTAGGGCTGTGCTCCCATCCCATTGCATCCCGCCCCAGGCAGAGCCGCTGTTCCCACCAGAGGGCTGGCAAACACACTTCTCTCTGCTTTTTAAGCTCTTCTTTGACTCCCTTAGTTTCCCACTAGCCCCTCCAAAATGTACTCCTGGTGGCTAAATACAGCGTGGTTCCAAGGCTGAGAACCCTGGGACTGGCTCCACACCACCACGCTCAGTGAAATATATGTTTTCAGATGAACTTTCAGACAAAACAGAAATCCAACACTGCTCCAGTAGGCAGAAACTGGAGAAGGGAAAGCTTCAAAGCCCATAAATAATAGTTTGGATTGAAAATTTCCACTCATTGCATGCACTGGATTCACTTACAAGTATTACAGCACACAGCCACCTAAGACAAGAGTGTGCATGTCCTCTGACCAAACACTATCCCAGGAGCAGTTTGGTCCCCTGTGGGAAGGTGTGGGGACACGGGACCGTGTCCCACTGCCTGAACTGATGGAGCTGGGGTGACTTTGGCATGACACATCCCTAAGAGCTAAACTGGAGCTGCCTCCCTTCCCTTCCCCTGTGCGATGCCATGGCAGCGTGGTTGTGCTGCTGTGCTATGAACGGGGGCTGGGAGGGAACCCAGAATGTTTAAAAGTGCCACGAAGTTTAGGACAAGTTCCCTCCTGACCTGGCCACCAGAGAAATTGCAGTGTAAGCACACGGTGAGGCAGTGCAGGTGACCTGGTACCTCCCTGTGCCATGCAGATCTCACCCTCAGACAAACCGCCGCGGTCATCAGGCCTTCCTGAGTCAAATGGGACTGGTAAATCTGGTTCCAACTAGTCCAAATGGTCCCAGAGAGAACTGGATTGAGGTTTGCTAAATCGAAGCTGAAGTGGGAAGGTGCCAGGAGTGTCCCTGTGTTTGCAGGGAAGATGACCCAGCCCATGCACAGCTCAGGAAAGTGGCAAGGCAGGATCATTCCGTGGTGAGCCTGGTCTGTGCCACGGATTCTCCAGTCAGTGTGACATATATGGGGGGCCTAACAACATTGCTGTATGGGAACGAGGGAAAAAAGGGGGCAAACCCCCCCCTCTGTTCTGCAGATAGTTATATTGGAAGAGTAAAAAGTACATATTGTTTTCAAGTTGGAAAGAGGCTGCATCCTGTCTTACTGAAATATATGACTGTGCTGAGGGGGTTTGGAACTGGACCCTTTCTCTGCCCAAAGGAACATTCCTTCAGAGAGACAGGCAGACAGAACTCTGTGCCTTTGTTTGGGCTCACAGCTCCTACTCCCCTGACAGAAACACGGGTTTGGCCACTGGGAGGATTAAACAGATGTTAATGGTATGTTTTCCGGTCCAACACCTGAAAATCAGCCTCTTTTAAAAATAAAACTGGCAAGAAACATCCACTGCAGCAAACATTATGAGACTTCTGAAAGAACCCAGTCAATTTTATTTTTAATTGACTCAACTTGAGGACTTAATGAGTTGACAGTATCCTTTTACCCGCCCTAGACCGCTGCCTTCTCACGATTTCTATCCTGTCCAGCTGTGCCCATCAGGGTGCAGTCTGGATGGAAAGGGGATCAAAGACTGCATTCATTTCTGTCCGTGCTCTAATTTGAATTTAACTCCAGTGTGCTTTACTTTGAGCTGCAGTCTTTCTAGGTAATGACATTTGCTGATTAACTGTTGAAATTACTAATGAATTAAAGGCAGTGGTCTGTCTTCAGGTTGCAAAAGCTGTAACAACAAGCTACTAAAAATAATTTAGAACTCTATTTAAACCCATGAAAGCAAAGAAATGCAGAGTTACCCTGACAGTATTGTCCTTTGCCACCTCCAGCCCTTTAAAATATTGCAGTAAAATGTGTTATTGGCTTTCAGAATGGAGCCCATCAGCAAAACGTTTCACCTTCCCGTGCTGGTGCCTCTTCTGGTGCAGCTGCTGGTGGCATTTAACGTTTACCTGCCACATCAGCAGGTCCATGGTTAACTGCTGACTTCAGTCAGGTCATAGGAGAAAGCCTGACTTAGTGCTGATAGGCTAAAAAAAGAAAAAAGTCAGCCTGTTATTGCATATGCTTTCCTTGGTATTTCATCCCGTTTTAAAATAACTGGGGATTTTGCAGGGTTTTTTTGTTTTGGTTTGGTTTGGTTTTTTGTGTGTGTTTGTTTTTTTGTTTGTTTCATTTGGGGTTTTGTTTTGTTTGGGGGTTTTTTGTTTGTTTTGGTGGGATTTTTTTTTTGATTTGTTTTTTATAGTTTTATTTTAGTAATATTTGGGTTTCAGATATTACAGGGCTGTTATTTAAAGGAGATTTTTTTGAAGTGAGAACCTGTTTGTGTTAGCATAAAAATCTAGATGGGGCTATTCTTAACTTGCAAAAAGAAAGGGGTGTAAAAGGAAAAGGATGCTCTGCCAACATGAAAATAATTGCGGGACCAGCTCCCATTCTCCTTATTTATGAGGTTTATTTGTTTAATAGCACAGCTCACACAAGTGAGAAGGCAAAGATCTGGTTTTTGATCCCTGCTCCCACGGCTTTGCTGAGAAGGGAGGCAGAGGCAGGTGTGGAAGCAGGAACAGCGTCCGGAAGGATGTGATGGTGCTGCACAGGATGTGTTGGTTTAATCCTGAGCACATCACATGTGCCAGTCTGCTGTCACAGAAGTACTTGGGATACACTTCCCTTGCAGGATCAAGAACTTCCCAGGGTGGCCTAGGAGAGACCACTTTCTCACTCAAGCACAAAGAACTCTCATGGCACAGCTACCAAAATCTGAGAGGTTTATTCATTTCAATAAATGTATTTATTGTAAAATGCCTGGAAGGTAAAATGATTCTGTTTAGCTTGTTTAATAGCCTGGACACATGTACATGGTTTAAAAACCAGAGACATACCAGGCTGGCCCCTGTTCCTCTCACAGACTCCCATGGGACGAGTTATCCGTGAGTCCCCCTGCCAGACCCCCAGGCAAAGGTTTGAGAAAGCAGATGGGCCTTCCACTGTGCCCTGAAGGTCAGTGGACGTCGGCTCTGCGAGGCCACTGGGAGAAGTAAATTCCTGAGCTGAGGATGTTTCACGGAGAAAGCAGAGCTTACACTCTCCAGATGTTCCAGTTGAGGGTGTGTCAGCAAGAGCTCTCTGGCTGGACTCAGCTGTCAAGATAGTGCTTAGAGGAGGGGAAGAGGAAATTCCTCAGGCAGCCTCAGTCTGAACTGTGCTGTTACACTGGTCCAGACTGGTGGGCTTGGACTCAACAGCGTCAGAATCTACGGGGGAACCACTCACCCACCTGGAATGCACTGGCTGTGCATTTCATAGGGAGCCTCTCTGTCAACAGTGCACCTCATACACCGTATTCTTGGGTAATCCTTTCGTAAATTACCTCAAAGTTTCCTACAGGATGAATTGATTTTTCACTCTGTACTGGTTTTGTTTTCCTTCCCAAAGCTTGGGGATGCACTGTGCAAAGCCTTCCTCCCACAGCTCCTTTGTTTCCCACTGTGTTTTAGTCCACAACAGAATCTCTCACCATTGTACAGTTCCCTTTCCAAAGTGCTACACCCTCAAATCCCTGCTCCTGCCTTGGGTGCTGAGCAGCAACTCCAGAAGCTGCCCTCAACTCCCTCCCCAAGCTCCCTTGGGATACTTGGCCCAAACCAGACTAGCTCAGCAATACTTGCTGCATGCTCAAAGGGATGTTTGCTCTCATTTATTTTCTGTTTCTTTCCAGGTTATTCGTCTTTCTTGCTTATTTTTCAGTCTCAGAAATATTATCAACAAGCTTGAGTCCCCTTTCGCATTGGTTCAAAGAGCACAAAGGAGGAGG